ACATGACAATACACAGCTCAGAGAAATGCTGCAGACAAAAAAAGAACTGGTAGGCAGGATGAAAACGTAAGTGATCCAACACCTCTAGAGGGTTTATTATTGTTAAATCATCACAACACAAAGCTTTAGTGTTTGGATACATAGATGAGTTAAAAAAAGAGAACACATGTCTTTGGGCACAGATCATTAATATTCATTCACTTTTCATTACTACTTTATAAGCTGATCTGTTGACAGCACCATGGAGTACATCATCTACAGTTTAGTTTGTAGTCAGCTGTGGCGTTGATGCATTTACAAAATACCACAAAAATATCAAAATAAATGTGGGAGACAAAAAAAGACAGGTCTCCAGTTGACATGAGGTGTCAAGAGGTTTTTCCAAGTATGTTTTTCAATGTGCTGCAATTCTGTGGATCCTCACTTCTTTGACTTCTTGTGTGGTTTAACCATGAGCCACCAGAACTGAATCATCTCCAATATGATTTATGAAATACAAGGCTACTTGCCTGTATGTGATTTCATGTGGTTTATCAAATGACACTCAAAGTATCTTTTCCCTCAGATCTTGCAAAGTTAAGGCTTCTCCCTGGTGTGGGCTCTTCCAATGTGGACCAACAATTGATTACTGAATCTGAAGTTTTTTCCACGTCTTACAAGGAAATGGCTTCTCACCTATGTGGATTCTATGAGCATGAGCTTTCAAATCTGTTGTCCGAGAAAATCCTTTCCCACATGTGCTACAAGAATATGGCTTCTCTCCTGTGTGGGTTCTTGCATGAACTTTCAAATCATTTTTCCGAGAGCATGTTTTCCCACAGGTGTTGCAAGAATACGGCTTCTCACCTGTGTGGATTCTTTTATGAACGTTCAAAGTTGACATTTGATTGAATGTTTTCCCACATGTTTTGCAACAATACGGCTTCTCACCTGTGTGGACTCTGTTGTGAGTGTTTAGAGCTGACATATGACTGAATGTTTTACCACATGTGTTGCAAGGAAATGGCTTCTCACCTGTGTGGGTTGTCATGTGGCCAATCAAGTGGCTCTTACATCGGAAATCTTTTCCACATGTGTTGCAACAAAACGGCTTCTCTCCTGTGTGGATTCTCAGGTGTCTATCAAATTGAGACTTAAACTTGAAACTTTTCCCACAAGTGTCACATTTAAAAGGTGTTTTACCTGTGTGAGTATTATGATCAATCTCTGATAAGTTGGGGTTGTCTACACGCTTAGTGTGACTTCTGCGCTTCTGACGTCTATTCTGTTGTTCTGGCTCTGCTTCTCCACTTGATGTTGAGTCTCCTTGCTCGTCTCCTTTCTCATCTTCACTCTCAGCTCCATGAGAGCTGTGACAGAGGAGCTGCTGCTCACTTTCCTCATCACTAGGAGTCACTAGAAAGGTCTCAGTCTCCTGCTTCACTTCAAGCTGCTCTCCCTCCTGACTGCTGCACACTTCCTCCTCTTCCTCTTTAATCTGTGGAGGCTCTGGCTCCTCTTGGTCCACACTGGACTTCCTCTCCTCAATACAGAGCTGCTGCTCAGCGACAACCTCCTCCTCCTTACACACATCTTGCTGTGGGAGCTCTGGAGGGACACACAACAAAAGGAACACATACTACTCTGATGGCAAACAAGAAAATGCTCACATGCGAGCTGGTTTTATAAATATTAGTCTTCTCTTTTGTGGTATTAAAATAATAAAGTGCTACACACCTGTCCTGTATAACCTTACTTCCGGTTTCCAAGCTATATCCAACAGTCTGCGCTGACGGTCGATCTCTTTCTCGTACTCGACGATAGTTTTCTCAAAAACTCCCAATATTTCTTCAGCAGCAGCAGTTAGTCTCTCGCTGACAAACCCTCTCAAATACTCAACTGAAGGCATTGTTGCTTTGTCACAATTACAGTCATGTCCTCATGGACAAACCTGCTTAAATTCCCTCGCGACTGGTGCGTTTAAATCGTTTACTACTTCTTCTTCTTCTTCTTCTTGTAGTTTCCGGCAGTCTAGATGCCTTGTGGCACATTGCTGCCTCCCACAGGTCGAGTCTATAATGCACTTAATTCCATTTCCACAAGTGTAATCCTGTAGCGGCGATGAACTCAAGGACTGCTTTCACAGCCCTTGGCTGGTTTTCAGTGGGATTCAGGAGGCTCTTTAATGTAATATCCCTTTCAGGCTGGCCTGACACTTCTTCATACATCCTCTTTCGCTCTTCTGTGTACTGGCTGCACTCCATGAGGACATGCCTCACAGTTTGTTGTTTCTTGCAGGCTTCACAGAGTCCGTCCTTGTGTTTTCCAATTTTTAACAGGTCCCAGGCCAGCCCACAGTGCCCCAGTCTCAGCCTTGTCATGGTCACCATATGCATCCTCTCTGACCCCAAATAGTTCTGCACCTTTTTAACATTGTTCTGAATACTAAAGTAATGTCTCCCCTTTTTTCCTTTTCTCACTGCTCTTGCCACCCCGCTGTAATTCTTCTTCTGATAATGGACCTTTACTCATTCACTCCTATGGCCACCTTCACATCCACCTCCCTCCTCAATGCCCTTTTAGCTGCCCCATCTGCCATCTCGTTCCCCTCTACCCCCACATGGGCTGGCACCCAGAGAAACGCAACCTCCCCTCCTGCCTTCTCAATTTTATACAGCTGTACCAACAGCTGCACCACCAGGTCTGAACGGACTCCCAGCTTGCCTTCCCCCAAAGTCATTAAAACAGCAGCAGAGTCTGAGCATATAACAACCTGCCCTGGCTGCACCTCCTCCACCCACTCCAATGCCCACATTATGGCCATCAGCTCTGTTGTGAAGACTGAAACCCCCTCCGACAGTCGCCTGCTCACTACTATGCCCAGACTTGGAATACAAAAGGCAAAACCGTTTTTTTTCCCTGTTAAAGGGTTTTTTTTGGGGAGTTTTTCCTTATCCGCTGCGAGGGTCATAAGGACAGAGGGATGTCGTATGTTGTAAAGCCCAGTGAGGCAAATTGTGATTTGTGATATTGAGCTTTATAAATAAAATTGATTGACTGATTGATTGAAAACCTGACTTCCCTGTTTCTGGATCTTGGGACCCGTCTGTGTAAATTTGAAGATGATGTTGCCAGGAGCCTTCTAATCTGTTTTCCACCAGGTCACTATAAGCTGTACTTTCGTTTGTTTTGATTGATTCCAATATGCTAAGGTCTATCTCCGGTGATGGTAATAACCTGGCCAGTGCACTATAGGGGCAACCCCCACCTCCCCCAACCCCGGCCCCTCCATTTCCTTACTGATCTTAAAGATGAAGCACTCCTTTTTGACACTTCCTCCTCCCCACTCCCATGCCTCCTCCAGGATTGATTTTGTTGGATTCTCCCCTTTACATCCCCTTAGTTTATTTATGTACTGCATTGCCAGCTTTGTCCTCTGAATTCCCAGTGGCGTCTCTTCCATTTCAACCAGTAAGACCGGGATTGGGGTGGTGCAGAGGGCCCCATAGCACACCCTCAATGCCTTTGCTTGCACTACATCAAGACGCTTTAGAGCTGTTTTGGCTGCTGTACCATAGCACAGACATCCATAATCTAGTCTTGATCTTATCATTGCTCTATTAGTATTTGCGTGTCTTGGCCAGCGCCCCAAGTACTTCCAGAGAGAGACCTCATCACATTAATAACCTTTTCACATTTACCTACAATACTGTCAATATGTTTTCCCCATTTGAGCCTTTCATCAAAATGTACTCCCAAGAATTTAAATACTTTTACCCTCTCAATTGCCTGTCCATACATAGATAAACCTTGACATTCAGTTTTCTTATTACCAAACACAGCATACTTTGTTTTTTCTACTGATATCTTAAAGCCCCACCTGCTTCCCCAGTCAATTATTTTATTTATCGCTCCTTGTGTTCTCTCAGTTAAGTGTTTTATGTTCCTCCCGTTTTTCCACACTGCTCCATCATCTGCGAACAGAGAGAGACCAAACCCAGGCCCAGTATCTTTAAAAATGTCATTAATCATAATATTGAATAGTACTGGACTAATTACGCTTCCCTGTGGTGTTCCATTCTCAATGCCTGTGCCGCTAGATAGAGCCCCTCCCACCCTCACCTGTATTTCCCTGTTCTTAAGAAAGTCCTGGATCCAGTTTAGTAAGCATCCTCGTAGTCCTGCATCATACAATTTCACAATTAGTCCCTCCTTCCACAACATATCATAGGCTTTTTCGATATCTAAAAACATTGCTATCAGTCCCTCTTTTTTTTACCATGGCCTTCTTTATATCAGACTCAAGTGAAAGCACCGAGTCCATGGTGCTCCTACCTCTACGAAACCCACTTTGCTTTGGAGTGAACCACCCCTCCTTCTCCAATTTATACGTTAACCTATCAGTCACCATTCTCACCATTATTTTGCATATTACTGCAGTAAGTGCAATAGGTCTGTACGACCCTGGCTTCACAGCATCTTTCCCCGGTTTTAAAATTGGGACCACTACTGCTTGCTTCCAGGCTGCAGGAAGAATTCCTTCCTTCCATATGTTGTTAATGAGAGCAAGTATTTCCTCCAACACTAACACTCCTAAATTCTTAAATATTTCATAGCTTAACCCATCTTTTCCTGGTGCTGTCCTTCCCATTCTTTATAGCTTTGCACAGCTCTGTCATTGAGAAGTACAAATTGACAGCATCAGTATTATCATCATCCACTTTGAGTTTGAATATGTGGTGTCTCAATGTCTCATTCCTTTTCCTTATACCCTCCTCCCCAATGTTCATACCACTATGGACAGCCTTAAACTTATTTTCACACATCTTTGCCTTCTCTACATCACTTGTAGCAACCACCCCTTCCTTCTCTAACACTGGCATTCTCTTCTGCCTCACTACCCCTGACATTCGGTGAACTGCTGCCCATACTTCTCCCACTGAAGTGTCTACCCCTAACCCTCCACAGTACTTCCTCCAGCACTCCTTTTTTGCAGACTTAATCACTCTTCTTGCCTTAGCTCTCAACCTTTTATACTCTATCATATTACTCTCTGTCAGGCCCTTTCTCAGTGTTCTACATGCTCGATTCCTACCTCTGACTGCTTTATCACATTCTTTAGTCCACCATGGGACGCTTACTTTTGCAGTGGGGTTTTTCTTAATAGGGATACACTCATATGTTTTATGCAATAGCATTTCACAAAGACTATTACTCCACTCATCTATTGTTCCTTCCCCCTTTACACTATCAAGGGCCTGATCACACTTCTCTGCAAATGTCTTCCAGTCTGCCTTGCTGTAGTCAAAATAACCTGGCCTCATCTGCTCTTCAATTAACAATGTTTTCCCAAATCTCAACAAAATAGGAAAGTGATCACTGCCCAATGTGTACCTGTCCATGGAATCCCATTCTCCCACCCTTGCCCACTCACTAGATGCCAGAGCTAAGTCTATGCATGACACTGCCCCTGTTCTTATCTCAAACCTAGTAGGCCTGCCATCATTCACACATACCAACCCATACCTGTCCATAAATTCCTCCACAGTGCTCCCGTTACCATCTCTTACCCTGCTGCCCCACAGAGGGTTGTGTGCAATAAAGTCACCGAGCCAGATGACCGGCTCCCCTATTTGCTCCATAACCTCTTCCATTTCACTTATATTAATTGGCAAGCATGGATTATAGAAATTCACAATATTCACCCATCTATCCTTCTCCCACACCCTTACTACAACACACTCTAGTGAAGACTTGATTTCCACCCGCTGATACTGTACATCTGACCTTACGAACGTTGCACATCCCCCTCCTGACTTCTCATGTCTATCCTGTCTGATACTTTCATATCCCGGCACCACAAAGTCTAAACAAGGCTTAAGCCAAGTCTCCTGAATACACAGCATCTCTGGTTTATCTTTAAATGTGTACACAAATCTTTTAAGTTCTGCCCATTCACAATTAAACTTCTTGCATTCCACTGCAATATGTAAAACATTAGCAGGCTAATCATCATCATCACCATCCTCATGTGCGTCCATGCTTCCCTCTTCATAGTATTCACTTCTGTCTGTACTCTTTCTTTCCCTTTCTGCAACTCTTTCCCTCTCTTGTGTTTCCACCTTCTGTCTCATGAACGTGTGTAACTGCTCTGGGCCTACTTGCACCTCCTCAAGGAACCTTTCCGCTGCATCTATCACTACTTTGATCATATCTGACCTCCTCGTTTGATTCTTAGCTGCCCACAGAACATCTACCATAAATGCTAGAAATGACTGTTTCTTCATTGCCTGCGCTGCCACTTCCTCCACCACTGNCTCCACCCCCACATGGGCTGGCACCCAGAGAAACGCAATCTCCCCTCCTGCCTTCTCAATTTTATATAGCTGTACCAACAGCACCACCAGGTCTCAGTCATTAAAACAGCATAGTCTAAGTCTAAGCATATAACAACCTGCCCTGGCTGCAGCTCCTCCACCCACTCCAATGCCCATATTATGGCCATCAGCTCTGTTGTGAAGACTGAAACCCCCTCCGACAGTCGCCTGCTCACTACTATGCCCAGACTTGGAATACACAAGGCAAAACCTGACTTCCCTGTTTCTGAATCTTGGGAACCGTCTGTGTAAATTTGAAGATGATGTTGCCAGGATCTTTCTAGTCTGTTTGCCACCAGGTCATTATAAGCTGTACTTCCGTTTGTTTGTTTTGATTGATTCCAATATGCTGAGGTCTATCTCCGGTGATGGTAATAACCAAGGCGGTACAACTGGCCAGTGCACTATAGGGGCAACCCCCACCTCCCCCAACCCTGGCCCTCCATTTCCTTATTGATCCTAAAAATGAAGCACTCCTTTTTGACCCTTCTTCCTCCCCACTCCCATGCATCCTCCAGGACTGATTTTGCTGGATTCTCCCCTTTATATCCCCTTAGTTTACTTATGTACTGCATTGCCAACTTTGTCCTTCAAATTCCCAGTGGAGT